CCCTGATGTGCTAGCCCCATCGCGACCACATTCCTGCACACGCACACACACACACACACACACACACACACCCTGATGTGCTAGCCCCATCACGACCACATTCACCCTCTCCCACACTCACTCTTCACCAACATTCACTCACACACACCCGGCCACGCTCACCCCATCACACTCCTCTCCCGCCCACTCCCCCACCAGCATCAGACACAACCACAATGGCACTGTGCACACACACACACACACCGTCACACTCACTCCCCAGTTGTCACCTGCAATCCACCCACCCTGGATCTTTACACACATGTGCCCCCAGAGATCCCAGCCACACTCATTTCTCGCACATGCTCTCCCTCCCTCAAACCAGCATCACTGCCTCACTCCATTTTCTGGCTCTCTCACTCACCACCCCTCACTGTCACACACACACTCACCCCAACGTCATTCTCACACTCACTCCCCAACCACCTTCTCAGTCCCTTGGAGACATGCAGTCTTACACTCAGTCACACTAAGTCACAAAGTGATTCACAATCTCATGCACACTCAACTCCTTCACCCGGACACCCCATCCACTCTCACATCACTTACACATGAATTCACTCATGTGCCCCCGCTTCACCCTCACTGCCATTTCCTCTCCACTCCCTACTCCTCACTCCATAGCTCTCCCACACAAGACCTAGGGCCCACCAACGTTCCAAGGCCAGACACAAGTTTTGAGAACAGAAGAATTAATAAACACTGTCAGAAGAAAGAAAGGGGAAGGAAGGGAGGAGTCAACATGTAATTAAATAGCCTCAAACTATAATACAATGTAAACTAATCTACTGTAACTAAAGTAAACTTTATATTTTATACTAAAGTAAAAAGTTACACTTAATAATATTTCACATGGGGTGTGGGTGACTTTTAATACATTTGCTGTGGACAGAGTGGAGCCACCAAAGATCTGAGTGTCTGGGGCCCGGAGTGGAGGAAAGAGGAGCTAGGAGGACCATTAGAAGGACCCCCAACCAAGCAGTGTGACTTATCTCATGTGCCGATGAAGTTCCTCAAAATTAGAGGCATGTCATTAGAAGTTCCTGCATTGTCAATTTGGTGGAAAAATAGCATTCTTTGGCTAACAGACCTGGTCTGGTTTCTGTTCTGTTTTCTCCCCTGTGTCTAGGACAGCACTTGGTGCATAGCTTGGCTCACAGTTGGCACTCAATACCTGCTTGTTGAGTGGATGAAACGTAACCACTCTGACCTACCATTATGGCATCAGAGCAGACCCCACCCTCTCCCACCTGCTCCCCTGGATGTCCCCTCCCAAACTCCACCCCACCTCAGATCAGCTGCAAACCCCATACCCTTCTCTCCACTCCACCGCCACACAGGGTTCCAGGGAAGACCAGTTAGAGAGTAAACACAACTTTTAGCCCAGTATCCCAAACACAGTTGTTGTTTAATAAAAGTAAGCTACTGTTTTAAATCAAGAACCTACAACATATATGGAGTTCCAGCTTTAATCCTCCCAATAGCCCTGCCAGGTAAGTATACATTATCAAGTCCATTTTCCAAAAACAAAACAAAACTCATTGCCCTTGAGTCAATTCCAACTCATAGTGACCCTGAAGGACAGAGTAGAACTGCCCCATGGTGTTTCTAAGACTATAAACCTTTACAGAAGCAGACTAGACTGCCACATCTTTCTCCCATGGAGGGGCTGGTGGATTCAAACCTCCGACCTTTTGGTTAGCAGATGAGCACTTAACCACTGTGCCACCAGGGCTCCTTCAAACTCATTTTACAGGAGAGGAAATAGAAGCTCAGAGTGTCTAAGCGGCCTGCACAAAACCATGCAGTTAAGAGGCTAGGCTGGGTTTCAAGACCTGGTCTTTGTGCTCCAGAAGGTAGGAAAAATGGCCTTTTGTGACCAATTACACCGTAGTTGTGACATTTCCGGGCACCTACTAGCCTTGATTTCAAGTATCTTCAAGCTCCCTCTGGCCCCTGTGGAGCCCACCTGAGGCCACTCTCAGCAGAATATGCCGTTTTGAACATCTAGCTCAATTGGCATAACATAATTTATAAAGAAAATGTTCTACATTCTACTTTGGTGAGTATCATCTGGAGTCTTAAAAGCCTGTGAGCAGCCATCTAAGATACTCTACTGGTCTCACCCCTTCGGGAGCAAGGGAGAATGAAGAGAACAGGATACAAGGAAAGATTAGTCCAAAGGACTAGTAGACCACAACTACCACGGCCTCCACCAAACTGGGTCCAGTACAGCTAGATGGTACCCGGCTACCACCACTGACTGCTCTGACCGGGATCACAATAGAGGGTCCTGGACAGAGCTGGAGAAAAATGGAGAACAAAATTCTAACTGAAAAAAAACACCAGACTTACTGGCCTGACAGAAACTGGAGAAAACCTGAGAGTATGGCCCCTGGACACCCTTTAACACAGTAATGAAGTCACTCCGGAGGTTCACCTTTTAGCCAAAGATTAGACAGATCTATAGGACAAAATGAACTAAAAGGGCATACCAGCCCAGGGGCAAGGACTTAGAAGGCAGGAGGGGACAGGAAAGCTGGTAACAGGGAACCCAAGGTCGAGAAGGGAGAGTACTGACATGTCATGGGGTTGTTGTTAACCAATGCCATAAAACAATGTATGTACTAAGAAAAGAATATGCCCTGTTTTCTAAAACATGGGATAACAATAGTGGCTTTTGCATCTAGGATCCAATACTACGTTTGCTCCATCCTAGCTGTGGAACTTGAGGCACGTTACCAAACTGTGCTCGGCCTCAGTTTTCCTAGTCTGTAAAATAGGGATAATGATAGCATTGGCCTTGTAGAATTGTTGCAAGAATTAAATGAGCTAATACCTGGCACACAGAGAAAATACTCTGTAAGGGTCATTATTATTGGATTGTTGGAAAGATTCTGTGCAGTAACGGGCACATGAAAGAGTTCTGGTGGTACAGTGGTTAAGTGCTCAGCTGCTAACGGAAAGATTGGTGGTTGGAACCCACCAGCTGCTCTGAAGGAGAAAGATGTGGCAGTCCGCTTCCGTAAAGATTACAGCCTTGCAAACCGTATGGAGCAGTTTTACTCAGTCCTGTAGGGTCGCTATGAGTCAGAATTGACACGCTGGCAACAGGTTCAATGGGTACATGTAAATCCCTTAGTACAATGCTCGCCATGTGGTAAATACTCAGCCAAGATTAGCTA